AGCCTCCCAAGTAGCTGGGACCACAGGAGCCCGCCACAGCACCTGGCTATTTTTTGGTTGCAGCCGTCATTGTTGTTTGGTGGGCCCGGGCTGGATTCGAACCCACCACCTTAGGTGTATGTGGCTGGCACCTTAGCCACTTAAGCCACAAGTGCCGAGCCAAAACAAATAATTTCTAAAGGAATCAGACATAAGCAAAAGGAAAGACATCCCATCTTTATGGATTGGGAAATTTGATATTATTAACATGTCAATAAAACCTAAAGCAGGAAGGCGCCTGTGGCTCAGTGGGTAGGGCACTGGCCCCATATACTGAGGGTGGTGGGTTCAAACCCAGCCCTGGCCAAACTGCAACAAAAAAATAGCTGGGCATTGTGGTGGGCACCTGTGGTCCCAGCTATTTGGGAGGCTGAGGCAAGAGAATTGCCTAAGCCCAGGAGTTGGGAGGTTGCTGTGCACTGTGTGATGTGATGCCACAGTGCTCTACTGAGGGCAATAAAGTAAGACTCTGTCTCTACAAAAAATAAAAAAATTTAAAAAATAAAACCTGAAGCAATATATAGATTCAATATAATCCCTATCAACATTCCAATGATATTTGTTGTAGAATAGAAAAGCCTATCCTAATAGGTATGAGATTCCAAATAGCCAAAATAATCTTCATAAACTAAAACTGAAGGACCCACAGTTCCTGATTTCAAAACTTACTTGAAAATTACAGTAATAAAAAATACTAATATTAAAGCCTTGCATAATTGGCCAAATACTTATCAACAAGGGTGCCAAGACCATTAAATGGTGAAAAGACAGTCTTTTAAATAAACAGTGCAAGAAAAACTTACTATCCACTTAATAACAAGTGAAATCAAACCTTTAATAGCATGTACAAAATGGATTTATGAAATCACTATGAGAGCAAAAGCTTCACCACATTGGATTTTGCAATGATTTCCAAGATATGACACCAAAGACACAGGTAATATAAGAAAACATGGCCAAATTAGAATTCATGAAAAGTATTTTAAAACTGTATCAGAGCAGGGTAACATTGCTTGGGCTGTTACCTCTCACGTGACTTTGGAGAACAGTGCCATTTTTATAAAAAAATTTTTTTAAAAAAACTGTGCATCAAAAGATGCCATAAGTAGATTAAAAAGGCAACCCACAGGATGGGAAAAAATATTTGCAATCATGTATCTAAAAAAGTATTAAGAACCGGGATGTACAGAAAACCTCTAAAAGTTGCCAACAAAACAACAGAATTCAAAAATGGGAAAAGGACCTCAATAGACTTTTCTCCAAACACATACAAACATCCACTAAGCATGTGACAAGATATTCAACATAACTAATAATAGAGAAACGCAAATCAAACCCATATCAGATACCACTTCACATGCATCAGCATGGAGACTATCAAAAATAGGTATGCTGGGAATGTGGAGAAACTGGAACCCTGATGCGCTGCTGGAGGGGATGTAAAAACATACAGCTACTATGGAGAACAGTATGGCAATTCTGTTAATTAAAAACAGAATTGCCATTTGATAGAAAAAGTCCACTTCAGGGCAAGTATTCTAAAGAACAGAAAGTACAGTCTCAAAGAGGTATTTATACAACCGTGTTCACAGCAGCAATACTAACAACAGCTGAAGAGAGGCATACCAATGTCCACTGACTGGATGGATACATTAGCAAAACCAGGCATTCAAAGCATTAAAAGGAAGGACATTCTAACATATGCTACACCACTGATGTTGAGGGCATTATACTGATAGGCCAGGTATGAAGTAAGACATTCTGTATTATTCCACTTATATGAAGTATTTAGAATAGCCAAAAGTCATAGAGACAGAAGAATGGTGGTTGTCAGGAGTTGGAGGCAACACAGTTAATTGCTTCAAATTTGCAAGGTCAATAGTTCTGGAAACCATGGTAGTGATGTTTACACAACAATATGAATGTACTTAATGTTCTTGAACAGCTTACATACTAAAATATGTTATGAGTACTTCCAAATAAAAAATTACAAGACAGTCCAAGTCATTATCAAAGACCTGTTGTAAACAAGTTGACAAACTCCAAAAATATCATAATAGTCAACCCTGTAGCTTTTGTGTGCCACAGAATCTCTGTACCAAATACTCAGCTCTGTCCTAATGGCAAGAAGAAACCCACAGGCACAAGGTACACAAGGACAGTGTCATTGTTGTAACAAAATATTCCTTTAAATCAACAAGTTACATTCTTTGGCTATAAGCCAGAATTGCCAACAAAAGAGTTAAAGAAAGACCCTTAATGTCACTTTGAAAATAAGGAGTTATATAAGACGTTCCTGAAAAAAATCTAAAACATTGAATATAATTAGATGTAATAGGAGATTTTTCTGATAAGTGACCATATGATGCCATGAACAAATAGGAAATTGTCTTTTGGAAGAAGGATGCATTGATATATGTAGGGTGAGAACACGATAATGTTCATAAAGAAAGATATATTATATATATGGCAATTTATTAACATACTTGCTGCACCATTCCTATGGTTTCCAACTGATTTAAAATTTTTTGTAAAAAATTTGCAAAAATTACAAAGTAAATAAACTTTTGTTTATTTCTAACCAATGCTGAACTGCACAAAAGGAATGTAAATTATTTATTTTCATAATCTTGAGGGTCTTTAAATTTATACATCTGAATTTCATTCCAGGAGTGTTTGACTCACCTTCATAAACCTAAATGAAGGCCATCTACATTGTTTCTACTTATTATCTGAGTTTATAAAAAATGAATTCAAATCCAAAAAAAGAAAAAGTAGGTATGTGAAGCTTTTCTGAATTCATTAAACACAAATGATCTTCATCTCATCAAAATCCACTAAAGATAACAGAAGTACTAATACTACGAAAAGTAGAAATTAATGTTTATTGAACACACTAGTATATTTCCATGTATTCTTCGCGTACTTTCTCTTGTAATACTAATAGCACTTAGGTACTACCACGATTTACGAATGATACTCAGAGGGGATAAATATCTTCCCCAATCTCATGCCAGTTGTAAGGAGGACAACGCTGATCATGATGATTAAGATAGGTAGAATGGCTAACACCTTTCCCTTAACCCTTAGAGTTCTGCTAGAAGATGGCTTTAACCAAGATTAACTATAAGTAATTTTTGCTGGAAGACATTTACAAATAAGAACAGTTCTCTACATCCTTAAATTTATCTCTGCTATGAATATATTGATAATCCAAAAATAGAATATCAGAAAAAGTTTTCCTTATGTTATTATAAAAATCAAGTACATTTTAAATTCTATGAATCTGAAAAAAATTTAGATCATATCTAAAAAAATGGACACTTTATTTACATTGTGAAAGTTCACACCAGTACAAATTCATAGCTAGTAAACAGTGAACCCAGCTGGGCAAAGTGGCTCACCCCTTTTATCCTGGGGGAACTGCTTGAGCTAAAGTATTCAAGACCAGCCTGAGCAAAGAAAGACCCTGTCTCTACTAAAAATAGAAAAACCAGCCGGTATTGTGGTGAACACCTATAGTTCCAGCTACTTGGGAGGCTGAAGCTAGAGGATGGCTTGAGCCTCAGAGTTTGAGGTTGCTGTGAACTATGACACCAAAGCACTCTACCCAGGGTAACAGAGATTCTGTCTGGAGAAAAAAAAAAAAGTGAACCCTATTTAAAAGCCTTCCCACATTGTCCTTCATTCAAATTCATTTTCAGTGGTATAAATCCATTGACACACTGTACTTTCTTTATTATCATATATATGCCACAAAGTCTCCATCTAGTATGAATTCTCTGATGTATTTGAAGGATTGACCTAAAGGACCTTCTGCACTTCTTACTTGCAAAGGATTTCTCACCAGTTGGAACTCTATAATGTATACCAAGATCATGGCTATTGTTAAAAGCTTTCCCACACTCTTAATACACATAAGCAATGTAAGGCATCACTAAATGTCTCCCCACGCTCATTACATTCATAGGACTATTCCCCATTATGAATTCAGTCATGATATGTGAGGCTTCTGGCATGACGAAAGGCCTTCCCACATTCCTTACATTCATACGGTTTCTCATCACTGTGAGTATTCTCGTGAACTTTAAGTTTTGAAATAAGTCTAAAGGACTTTCCACATTTGTTGCATTCAAAGGGTTTCTTACCATTATAAAGACACCGATGCTGAGCAAGTTGTCCAGACACACTAAAAGCCTTCCCACATTCCTTACATTTAAAAGGGTTCTCACCAGTGTGAACTCTACAATGTATAGTAAGTTTATGGCTATAAATAAAAGCTTTCCCATACTCTCGACACACAAAGAGTTTCTCCCCAGTATGAATTTTCTCATGTCTAACAAGATATGAGGCACAAGAAAAAGACTTCCCACATTCTTTGCATTTGAAGGATTTGTAACCAGTATGAATTGTTTTATGATGTGCAAGGTGTGCCTGCTGACCAAAGGCCTTCCCACATTCCTTACATTCATAAGGTCTCTCCCCAGTATGAATATATTGATGTATTTTAAGGGATGAGTTGAGTGTAAAGGGTTTCCCACATTTGTTATATACAAAGGGTTTCTTACCATTATGAATATTCTGTGGTTGAGGAAGTTGTCCAGCCACACTAAAGACCACGGCACATTCCTTACATTCACATGGTTTCTCAACACTAGAAAATGTATGATGTGTAATAAGTTTGCGGCTACTACTAAAAGCCTCCCTGTACTCTTCATATTCATGGGATTTCTCTCCAGCATAAACTCTCTGGTGTATGGTAAGTTGATACCTACACTCAAACATCTTCCCACATTCCTTACTTTTGTAGGGTTTTTCTCCATTATGAATTCTCCTATGACATACAAAATGTGAAAACTGATGAAAGGCCTTCCCACATTCCTTACATTCATAGGGCTTCTCACCTGTATGAGTCCTCTGATGCACTTTAAGACCTGATTTGAGCCTAAAAGACTTCCCACATTTCTTACATTCAAAAGGTTTCTCGCCAGTGTGAATACTCTGATGCTGACTAAGTTGTCCATACACACTAAAGGCCTTTCCACATTCCTTACATTCATATGGTTTCTCACCATAGTGAAATCTATGGTGCACAGTAAGTTGACAGCTACTCCTAAAAGCTTGCCCACACGCTTTACATTCATAGGGTTTCTCAACATGAACTTTTCTATGTTGAGCAAGATTTGCAGCATGACTAAACACCCTCCCACATTCTTCACATTCATAAAGTTTTTCATGAGTATGGGTTTTCTGATGTTCTTTAAGGCTGTTAAGGTGGCTAAATGCCTTCTTAAACTCTTCACGGTGACTGGGTTTCTCACCAGTATGAGTATTCTGATGTACTGTGAGTTCTGCAAGACGACTAAAGCCCTTTGAACATTCTTTACAGTCATATGATTTTTTTCCCTTATGAATTCTATGCTGTCGAGTAACAGATGAGGGTTTCCTATAACTGTGTATTTTTCCAATGTGGATTCTTTTGCACCTTGAATCCAAATCTAAAAGAAATAAAAGAAAAACATTTTGTTTCCTGGACCAGAAAACATAATGGTCTATTATAGATTTAAAAGAAATTCTCACACACTAGAGAAGGTTGAGAGAATTCTATCACAGTATTAATAAGATATTAAAAAAAAAAAAAAAAGGAGAGCTCAGAAAATGATGAAGTTGGGCCGGGCATAGTAGCTCACACCTATAATCCCAGTATTTTTGAGGCTGAGATGGGTGGATCATGTGAGCTCACGAGTTCAAGACCAGCCTGAGCAAGAGTGAGACCCCGTCTCTAAAAAATAGTCAGGCATTCTGGCGGGTGCCTGTAGTTCCAGCTACTCAGGAGGCTGAGGCAAGAGAATCACTTAAGCCCAGAAGTTGGAGGTTGCTGTGAGCTGTGACACCACGGCATTCTACCCAGGGCAACAGCTTGAGGCTCTGTCTCAAAAAAAAAAAAAAACAACAAAAAACTCATAAGAGTATGTTAATCAATGCTCAGAAATGTTCTGGATAAATACACCAGACTTAGGGAATGTTAGGGATACTGAAACTTTGGGAAAAAGAGAAGACCTGAATTATATAAAGAAGTAGACATGAAGAGCACTAGGAACTAGATGGAGAAAAAAAGACAAACTATGGTAAAAGTGGAAAGAAAGATAATAGACTACAGTCTGGGTAAAAATGTGGAAATAATGTGAACAACCCTTTTTAAAGTAGTACATGTTTAACAATAGAAATTAATATTATCAGAAACTAAAAGCCCTTCCATGTGGAAACAGAAATGTCCTTGGCATAACAAATGGTGGGTCAGTATGCAAATAAAGCGCTGAAGGATAAAAATTCCAGTAAATTATAATTGAGGAAATAAGCACACATCATAATCTTGGGCACTGTGAATACTGGCAGTCAGGATATTCAAAGACTTAAATATATATCTCAATAAAAAAGAGAAAATGGGCTGGGTGTGGTGGCTCATGCTTGTAATGCTAGCACCCTGGGAGGCCAAGGTGGGTGGATTGCCCTGTGTACAGAGGTTCGAGACCAGCATGAGCCAGAGTGAGACCCTGTCTCTACCAAAAAAAAAGCCAGGCGTTCTGGCAGGCACCAGTAGTCCTAGCTACTTGGGAGGCTGAGGCAAGAGAATTGCTTAAATCCAAGAGTTGGAGGTCACTGTGAGCTATGACTCCACAGTACTCTACTGAGGGCCACAAAGTGAGAGTCAATAAAAAATGAAGGGAAAGAAAGAGAGAAAGAAAGAAAGAACAAACAACTTCAAACTAAGAAGAATGAAAGTGAATTGAAAGCAAAATTTTAAAAAAGAGAGAGAGAGAAAGAAAATGACTTAAAGGCCACAACCCAAAATTAAGGAAATAAAGAGCAAAGTACAAGGTGGTAGGAAAAAAGGTGGAAACAGAATATAATGAGTTAGAAAACAGAATTGCATGAACAACAACAAAAAAAATCAAAGACCTTAAATGTTTACAAAAATGATTAAGTGGACAATTCAAGAAGAGAATAAGTAAAGTGAGCTTGAAATTTTATAAGAAAATGAAACAAAGTCTTCAAAGACAGAGTTGTAGCTAAACAAAACAGTATAAAACAGCAGCATAAAAAGGATTGGCATATATACACATATATAACAATACAGAATACAAATGATGACTCAACGATGATACTCACAAGAGAAAAGAAATTTCTCACCATTTCATAACTCCTTAATTTAATTCAAAGTTCTAGTTCTACTATAGTGTCATAAGCTCCCTATGGCTTCCCCTGGCTTAACTAATTTAAAACTCAATGTGGGTGAGGCGTGGTGATTCACACCTGTAATACTTTGTTTGAGGGTAAGACGATTGTTTGAGGCCAGGAGCTTGAGAAGGCTAAGCAAGAGCAAAACACCATCTCTACAAAAAGTAGAAAAATCAGCCAGGTGTCATGGCACACATCTTTAGTCCTAGCTAATCAAAGGCTAAAGCAGAGATCACCTGAGCCTAGGAATTCCAGGCTACCTTGCACTACCATCATGCCTATGATTAGCCACTGTACCCTTACGTGTGTGAACAGCCGATTCACACTGGCCTGGGCAAAACAGTGAAATTCTATCTCTAAAAAATATATAAACAAATAAACATGATTAATGTGATAAGGCTTTAATGTAAAACATGAACAACTGGCTACAAAATCAGCAATAACAGAAGAATAATGTAGCAGATATGGAAACTAAGGAAGAATCAAAAGAAATGTTACAAATCAAAACACTGTGTCAGAAATGAATGAACCTTTGACAGACTCACCAGCAGACCAGACAGTCAAGGAAAGAATCAGGAAAATGGAAGCTACAAGGGAAAGTTCATAAACCCAAATGGAAAGAGAAAAAAATAACAATGAAACAAAATATCCAAGAACTGTGGGACTACTACAAAAGGTGTAATGTACATGTAAAGAAAATACCAAAAGGAGAGAGAAATGACCAGAACTGCCAGAATCATTTATCACTTCTTTTATTTAGAATTCTTGAAAATTAATGACAAATATAGATCACATGTCCAGGAAGCTAGACAATACTAGAGAATACTAGGAAGCTAAACATGAAAAACCATACACTTGGGCAGCTCAGATTCAAATTGCAGAAAACCGGCTCAGCACCTGTGGCTCAAGTGGCTAAGGCACCAGTCACATACACCTAAGGTGGCAGGTTCGAATCCAGCCCGGGCCTGCCAAACAACAATGACAGCTGCAACCAAAAAATGGCCGGGCGTTGTGGCG